ACACTGGGCACAGTGTCCATGTGTTAGCCAGCAATGATGAAGGTGGATGGCATACCAGAAGCAGGTTAAAATCGCTGAACAAACAATCACTAAAATGCAAAGACAGAATCAAGAAACAGCGGAAAAGGACAGTGATAGAGAAACAACTTCTGTAGCAACTAGAAGAAGAAAGGGGAAGTAGGAAAATCTCAAGTTTGAAAAGACAAAATAATTTAACCAAGAACAGTTTCTTGAGAACCAGTGAATAAGGATAAGGATCAGTGAATTGTTGGGCAGTGTCTAAGCAGGAATATTGAGCTGAGTGGTTAGAGGAAACCAATAGGATGTGAAGGTCACAAATAAGGCCACTCAGAAACATGTTCTCGAGAAACAATACTCACGCTAACTGTAAAAAGATCAAGGGAAAAGATCAAAAATTATAGATTCAAAAAGGTTTATTATGGTCATGATTCCCTCTACCAGCAGGGACAAGGAAGGGGAAGAAAGTGATTGAGATTGGGAATCAGGGTCACTCCATTGCAATGGGATTGACCAATGGCCCTGAACCTGATACATCAGAGATGGTACATACCACCCAATGATGATGGTGCTTGGGCCATATTAGATTGAATATTGGAAGTACCATGCAAAACAGAGAAGTTAAAGAAAATTGTACGTGATTAAAAAAGGTTGGAACAGGAAGAAGAATCCCAAAGACAATTTCTTGGATATAGACCAGATGACTACACTGAAAGGACACAACAAAGAAGAAAATGAACTTTTACTTTTCACTTGGAGCCTGCATTATTGGGAGGGAGGGGAATTACTGGTTCAAGAGTATTCAAGTCTCCCTGTACTGCAGCATTTTGAGGTCTCTCACCTTTTAAATAATGTTCTGTTTTTCTGGTTTTTCTTACAAACTAGACAAGGCCAGATTTTCCAACATTATACACCATCTGTCAGATCTTTGCTCACTCACTTTACCTTTGCAGACGCCTTATATCTTCCTCACAAGTTGTTTCCTATCTATGTTCATATTGTCAGCAAATGCAACTACAATACACTTGGTCTTATCATGTAAGGCATTAATGTAGATTGTAAATAGTTGAAGTTCCAGTGCTGATCCCTGCAACACTCTACTAGTTATGGTTTGCAAAACTGAGAATCAACCATTTGTCCTGACTGTTTCTTTTTATTCTTCTTCCAAGCTAATATATCACCCTCAACACCATATGCTCTTAACATTTAGAGCAAACTTTTATGTGGCACCTTATTGAATGTCTTCAGATAGCCAAACACAATATATTCTTATAAGTTTGTCATGCACAAATTCCATTTCACCAAAACCATGTTCACTTTGCCTGATTATATTGCTATCCTCAAGTATATTGTGAACATTCAATGTATACATTTAAAATTTGGTCACAAACAGACTATTAAATACCTTTACCATGGAAAATCATGTGACCTTTGATATTTTCAGCTCCATGGAGTAATGAATATCAAGCAATTACCTAATTAAATATTGACATTGAGAGCAATCTGGGAACTCACACATCCCTTTGTCCTTCATCTCTTCTTCAGACTAAAGATGAATCTGAAGGTACCAAACAACAAGACAGGACAATTGGAATCACTACATTTGAATGACTATGAACTTGTTGAAATCACATGATGAAGGAAACATTTTGTTAAATCACATTATGTTGGTTCTTTGGATGATTTAACAGTAATGAGCAAATTTGGAAATAGGAGCTTCCTAGAGGGATTCTGCCCAGCCCATTCCACCTTCAAACACCAACCTCCTGGAAGTGGAACTATAAGAAAACCTCACACCTCATTGACAATCTTTTGCCTTTCAAGAATTTTGCTTCAACTTTAAATCATCATCACCATCAGACAAACTGAAGAGGTGTTGCAAAAGAGACAAATATAGTTATAAGCTACAACCATTTAGTTTAACCATAATATGTATCTAACTTTTACCTTGAAGGTAGGCTAGGGAGGTGGATGATGTAGTGCCAATGCTGTGGGATTCGTAATTGCTGTGTCCCTAGGGATATAAGTTCAAATCCCACTGTGGTAGATGGTAAAATTTGAATTCAATAAAAATATTGGAATAAAAAAATTGTCTAATGGTCACCATAGAGTTATACAGCATGAATGTGGTGAAAATCCTCCAGACAAGGAAATCTGCCATCCTTACACGGTCTGGCTTATATGTGACTCTAGACCCAAAGCAACCTGGTTTACTCTTGATAACCATTGGAAATGGCCTATCAAGTCAATTAATTCAAAGGCAGCCAGGAATAGACACCCACATCCAGTAAGAGGGGGAAAAGACGGTGAGATATTGCATTTAAAAATCTAAGACAAGAGTGTATAGTAATAATAAACCTTGTGTTAAGATTCACAAAAAGCTTGCTGCTGGAATTATTTCGTTGGGACAGTTTTACATATAAGAAAACAGACCCCACTCACAAACAAATATTTTAATGTGAAGATAGAAACAAAATACTTTTCAAAATTCTGCCATTTCCTCATTTCTCACTGAAGTAAGTCATCCATTAAAGTCATGGTTATGTCCTGAACGTTGTGACTTTGGAGTTGTTGGTTGGTTCGTTGACTTGACTGGTTTCTGTGCAAACGTTCGTCTCCCTTCTAGGTGACATCTTCAGTGCTGTCTAGCCTCCATTGAAGCGCTGTTGTTCTGTCCTGCCCTGAACTTATATGGTCTGGTCTGTCATGGTGGGTAGTCCTGCTTCTGGTTTTGCTCCGTAGTGGTACATAGATGGAGTCCATTTTAATGTTTGTTTATTACATTGGTGGTTGAAAACCAGGCCTCCGGGAATTCCCATGCTTGTCTTTATTTTGGTTGTCCTAATTTTGCTTGTCCTATAATCATAAAGAGAAATTGCTGGAGAAATCAGCAGTTCTGGTAACATCTGAGGAGAAAGCATAGTTGATGTTTCAGGTGCAGTGACCATTCTTCAGAACATCCCTATTTGTATGCCATGGTGACCATCATGATTGACACAATTGATAATATCCTCCAGGTCCACCAATGCAATCATGGTATTAGACAAAAGATTTCCAGAGAAACAATACAAGGGTGGCCATATGCACACCGTCTGTCACAGTGGTTCCACAGTAACTTACTTTCCATCAGCACATGGCCAAAGAGCTGACAAAATGTAGGCAGCCAGGCTGGCTTATTCTCTGTGGATAACTTGTTGCTGACTTTAGAAGATGAGAAATAGAGAGTGCGAGGGGCTACTGGAAGAGATGATGGAATTCCTCCAAATGGTGAGTTTTAAGGTAAAGCCCAAGAAGGTTCAGATAAGATAGAAGACTGAAGTTCTCTGCTTAATTCTTTGACTGCGTTATAGATGAAGCAAAATGTGATTAATAAACAAATTCAGCCTGTGGTGTTTCTGGGTCGGACAGGCTGACGGAAACTCAGAGCGTTACGTTGTCAGGCTAACTCCCTTATTCAAACAAGGTATGCAATGGGAATAGGACGAGGAGTCTCGAGGTAATTGTGCAGCTAAAAAGAAATTTGCATACAGGGCTGGACCTAGAAGCTGCGGACCCTCTCAGGGATTTACATCTAATAGTGACAGCAAATGGACACCACCTTGGAAACCCAGGCATCTGACACATGGCCTACACCACCAAGGTACTGTCTGAGATAGCAAAATACTGATCCCTCTGTGAATGGCTCTCACTTACTACTTTCAGTATGGGGAAACATTTGGTGGTGTTCACCAGCACTCTCCTTATCCATTATACACAGACTCTTCACCCATTATTAGTCCAAGGGAATGGTTTCTAGTATGCAGATTGTTAGATGGCTGTTCTAACCGGAAAGGATGGAAGGATGAACATGAAAAGATTAAGTAGGTCAGGGAGTTGATTTGAGGCTGAAGGGACAGGGAGGGTGAGGCCTGAAGGATCTTACAGCCTTTAATACGTCTGAGCTGAACTTCTGGAGAGCCATCCTGCTGGGGCTTCTAACCAGCCCACCTTAGCACTTTCCTATTAGCTGCCTATGCTCTGCTTCTGTGGTCAGTGAACTTATCTTTATTCTACACCTACATGAACCCTTCCATGTCAGAGTGGAGATCACGGCATTTAGGTAATTCTACTGAGATGGTCTGGATGGCTAGGAAATATCTGGATTTGAGCTCTTTATCTCAATAGTGAAAATCCAGCCCAAAATACATCTTCATTGTCTCTGTCAATTCCTCATTTCCAATATTAATTTCTTCAGTCGCCGCTTCTAAGGGACTAATGTTTAGTTATTTGCTTGCCATTTATAGGTGCATGGTGCATGTATAGCATGAGTTGCCAGAGGAAGTGGTGGAGGCTGATACAATTACAACATTTAAAAGGCGTTTGGATGTGTACATGAATAGGAAGGGGATAGAGAGATATGGGACAAATGTGGGCAAATGGGACTGGATTACTTTAGGATATCTGGTCGGTCTGGGTGAGTTGGGCCAAAACATCTATTTCCATGCTGCACATCTCTATAACCCTAGAGACTTGTAAAGGTTCTTATGATCCATTTTTATGCTCCTGGCTAATTTATTCTCATATGCTGTATCTTTTATTTAATCTTTTTTTAAAATTAGCTTTTTGGTGACTCTTTGTTGGTTTCTAAAAAGCACTAAATGATCAGACTTACTTGTATCCTTTGCAACATTATAAGCCTTTGTTCAGTCTAATGGTCCTTATACCATTCACTTGACCTGCTCAATCATGGGGGCAGTGGTCATGAAACCAATAATAAGGTCTGGTGTTATCAATGTAATATGGTTGGAACTGGAATTCAAAAATACTATTATAAAACTGGTCAAGAAATCACAAAAAGTAATTTTGCTTTATAGGTTTTAAGCTGCACTGTTTTAAAAAAAAAACTGGCTATTAATTAGTTACCATAACAAAAAAGTTCCATTGTAAATGATGTCTTAAGCAAAATTGTTTTAAAAAGTTATACAGAATTGCAATTTATTACAAGCATATATAAGTTACATTTCAGATAGATTTTTATTAACTCTAGAAACTCTAAATCACAGAATTGTTATAGAATCACAGAATTGTTAAGGTGAAAGAGGAGGCCATTCAGTCCATCTTGTCTGCACCAGACGTGTTAAAAAAACATGTGCAAAGATATTCAACTGTGTTGAAAGTTTTTAGATGAAAAGAATGGCATTATATCCAAAATAGTTTAACGAGTAATGAAAAGGTAAGTTACACTAAACATATATTTCGTAAGATTCAGATTTTCCAGATATAGTTTATAAATATCTCAAGAAAACTCTTGTGATAAAACAGTCATTAACAAACTTTGCTATTTAGCCAAATAAACAACTTAAGGAACTGTACTTTGCAGAATTTTTGAAGCTGCCTACATTTTTTTCCACTTTCAATTCCAATTGAATACAAAGATGTACAAAGAGAAGTCCCAAATATTGAAACAAATAATCCTTCGTTTTACTTCTTATAACACAGAATGTTTTCACCATAGAACATTTTCAACTAAATAATATTAATGTTCTAACAAAGGCACTTTAAATGTTAGTTACAAAATAATCCTCCTCCAAAGCAATGGTATAGCACATGTACGTGACGTTTTAGGGGATCCACTATCAGATAGGCAAAGGTCTGTTCATGCTTGTTTGTTGAAGGGTAGCAAATGCCATAATCATCCTAGTAAAATGACAGACATGAACAATTAGTATCCCTGTTTGTCACATTTTCGCAAATATAAGTAACAAAGCAACACAATTTTGGAAGGCAATAATAATTATGAAATACTTAGGCAAATAATTATGTCAATACGCAAGTAAATAATAGAATCATTACCATCTTCAAAATTGCTTTTATTTTAGGATAAAACAAAGCAAAAATCCCCAATGACTGAGTGAGTAAAGATATTGCCTGGTTTAGCACAGTGACATAAGATAAGGTGTCTATTGACTAGTTGATCACAGTTAAGATAGTACTTAAGTAAATAGTGTTAGCATTAGTAGACCAGGGGGTGCAACAAAAGCAACTTAGCTTGGATTATTTCTAAATAGAGACCACTGTATGAAAGTGCAAGCATGCAGATGTGAGGGAAAAGCATGGCTATAATGGGCAAGTTCTGACTAGAGAAGTGCTGCAAGAATCATGGGTGGGGCCTCAGTTACTTACAATCTATATTAATAGCCTGAATAAAGTGATAGAGGGTAGTGTATCTACATTTTAGGACAATACAAAGCTAGGTGGGAATGCAAAATGTCAGGAAGAAATAAGGAGGTCGCAAAGGGATGTAGACATGTTAAGTGAGTGGGAAACTGGCAGATGGAGCATGATGTGGGGAAATACGAGACTATTTAATATGGTCAGAAGTATAGAAAATGTTTATTTAAAAAGGCATAACACTTGTAAATGTTGCTTTTCATTTAAACCTGGGTGTACTCATTCATGGAATGTAGGAAGTTGGTTTACAGCTACAATTAGTAATTAATGGTAAATGGCAGAATTGATCTTTATTGCAAGGGAAATTAAATTTGATAATTAAAGAAGGAATACTTGCCTTAAAGATGGTATGGCAAAAGCTCAATAGATTTATTCCTTAGATGAGAGGCTTGTCCTATGACGAGAAGCTAAGTAAATTGGGTTTATAACCTCTGGAGTTCAAAAGACATTACTGTTCATTACCTATATCAATGATTTGGATGAGAATGTACAAGGCATGAATAGTAACTTTGCAGATGACACTAAAATAGGCAGTATTGTGGACAGTGAGGAATGTTATCAGAAATTGCAGCAGGATCTTGATCAGCTGGGGAAGTGGGCTGAGAAATGGCAAATGGAGTTTAATATAGATAAGTGTGAGGTTTTGCATTTTGGAAAGTCAAATCAAAATAGGAGTTTCATGGTGAATGGTAGGGCCTTAAGGAGGAGTGTAGTGGAACAGAAGGACCTTGGAGTTCATGTGCACAATTATCTGAAAGGGGAGTCACAGGTAGACAGGGCAGTGAAAAAGTCTTTTGGCACACTGGTCTTCAAAAGTCAGGGCATTAGTATAGAAGTTGGGAAATTATGTTGCAGTTGTACAGGATGTTGGTGAGGCCGTACTTGGAGTATTGTGTTCAGCTTTGGTCACGTTGCTACAGGAAAGAAGTTATTAAACTGGAAAGAATGCAGAAGAAATTTACAAGGATGTTGCCAGGACTCAAGGGTCTGAGTTATAGGGAGAGGTTGGACAAGCCAGGACTCTTTTCTTTAGCACATAGGAGACTGAGGAAGATCTTATAAAAGTGTATAATATCAAGACAGGCATGGATAAGGTGGGGTTGGGGAATCAAAGACTTAGAGCATCAGTTTAAGGTAAGAGGGAAAAGAATACATGGGAACCTGGGGGGGCAACTTTTTTTTTTAAAAACACAGAGGGTGGTACGCATGTAGAATCAGCTGCCAGAGGAAGTGGTTGAGGCGGGTACATTCACAACTTTTAAAAGGCATTTGGACAAATACATGGATAGGAAAGGTTTAGAAGGATTTGGGCTAAGTGCAGGGAAATGAAGTTGGCATGGATGGACATATTGGTCAGCATGGACCAGTTTGGGCCAAAGGGCCCATCTCTGTACTGTAAGACTCTATGACTCTATAAATGAAGCACACCAGAGTTTGAAAGGACTTGGCAGATTGATCCAGGGAGGCAGTTTTCCCTGACTAGGATATCTTGAACACAGGGGTGTAGTTTCAGTGGTTGTGGGTGCTCTGCCATGATTATATTTAAGGCTAAGATAAATGTGATTTTGGTCCCTTAGGGACTCAAGGGATTGGTGAAGCAGGCAAGAGAATAGAATAGAGAGTAAAGAACACTCATGGTCATACTGAATGGCAGTGCACACTTTATGGACAGAATGGTCTATACCCACTCCTATTTCTCACGTTCATATCAGATATTATTTCACAATTATTGTCAATGATTTGACTTGGTAAGAGGTGAAAATACTGGTTGGAAATAATAATGAATAACTAACATCACTGTATTACATTCTTCAGTCTGTTATTTTAACAGAAAGGGGGGGGGGGTCGATTAGCTCAGTTGGCCGGATGGCTGGTTCGCAATGCACTGTGATGCCAACAGCATGGCTTCAATTCCTCCACCAGCTGAGGTTACCATGAAGGACTCTCCTTCTCAACCTCTCCCCTCACCTGAGATATGGCAACCCTCACGTTGAGCCACCTAATAAAAACCGAAAGAACTGCAGATGCTGTAAAACAGGAACAGAAACAGAAGTTGCTGGAAAAGCTCAGCAGGTTTGGCACCTTCTGTGGAGAAAAAAATCAGAGTTAATGTTTCGGGTCTGGTGACCCTTCCTCAGAACTCAGCAAATTCAGGTTAAACCACCAGTTGTGTCTCTCTGATGAGAGAACTCCAATGGTCTGAGAGGATGATGGTAACTTTAGATCAGGTGTTGATGTTATTTTAAATGGTAATGCTCCCATTATGTGATGGACTAGAATTGCATATGTGCAAATAATATTGGCAAATTTAATATCTAGGTTCTGTTTTTGTAAATTAGCACGTCAGCCACAAACTTAAAGGAAATCAAAAGCAAGAATTGTATTGGAACTGATACTTACACGAGCTGTTACCTTTAATACTGTGGAGATGATGCGTATATCTTTTGTATCCGGATCTTTCTGTACACTACAGAGAAACAAATTTTGGTTCAGTATTTTATCACGTTCTACTGTACAGCAATGTGCTTCAGTTCAATGACAAATCTGTTTCTGAAACGCTGGTGTCACAGCCTTTTTAACTGAGGCTATTTATCAGTAAAATCCTTCCACTTCTCTGGATGAATCTACTAAACAATCTTCTTATTTTTCTAATTGGTTCTGTTTCCTGTCGTATTTTGAATTTGTGTAACAGTACCCAGCATCACAGCTGCCTAAACAGCTGATTGGATAATGCTAGAGACCTACTGAGGTTGGTCAGCTGAAGCAAATGCATACTGAAAAGAATTTAAAACACAGGCCAGAAAGGGCTGGATTAAGTAACTATAAAAAGAAAATGAGAAATCAGTTAAATGCGTAAGGCATGAAATGAGCTTGGAGAACAAAACAAAAATCACATGAGTAAGTGATAAGGAATTGGGGGAGCTCAAAACCTATTAGACTTCCGTCTTTCCTTTGTTCTGATGAAACATGATCATCCTGAAACATTAGCTCTGTTTCTCCCCACAGACACTGACTTTTATACAGAGTATTTCCAGTATTTTCTGTTTTTACTTCAGATTTGCAGCTTCTGCAGCATTTTGCTTTTGTTTTAGAAATAACCATTCAGGTAAAGAGTAAAAATGGATTCAAGAGGTAACAAGGTATGTGGGAATTTTCCTGCATGTTTAAAGGTGGTTGCAATGAGGTTATCTTTCTCAGTAACAGGACGAAGAGAACAACCTCTCCATTGGGGCAAGTGATTGAAGAGTAGCAATAGAATCACCAGATTCCATCCAGGCTGGAGCCAGTGAATCATAATGATCCAGGAAGGTGTGACAGATGAGCAGCATAAAACCATCAGGTGACAGGTCCCATTCTTTTACAGGTCTGGCAGCATATGTGAGAGAAATCAGAGTTAACGTTTCAGGTCCAGTAATCCTTCCTCAGTTCTGAACCAAAATCTTAGCTCAGATTTTTCTCCATAGATGCTGCCAGACTTGCTGAGCTTTTCCAGCAATTTCTGTTTTTGTTTCAGATTTTTAGCATCCATAGTTTTTTTTTGTCCCCACTATTCTTGTACTTTTGCAGTATTCTCCTGTCTTGTATACGCCTTGCAGCTCCACTCATTCCTTTGTGTCCAAATGCTTGACGTCCCATCACACTCATTCCACTGTTCACAGTCAGTCTTTGCAAATGGTGTCCCTCCCTCCTCCACACTCTTTAGGAGTTCTCTTTGTCTCTGCTTTCTCTCTTTTTAGGGCAACCCACAACTTGGCTTGTAAAAGTGACCAATGGGGTGGGGGTAGGGGAGCAGAAGAGAGTTGTAGGTCATGATCCTCCAATAATATGAACTTTATTGGACAATGGAAATATGTACTCACCTCTTCCACTGAAAGGAACACCTGCATGTGTACAGCCTTTTTCACCACATTGATATACGTAAAGTGCTTCACAATAAATAAGGTACTTTTTAAATTTAGTTACTGTCATAATGTAGGGGATACAACAGCCAATATGTGCTCAGAAAACTCCCACAAACAGTAATGTGATAATGACCAGATAATCTGTATTTTATGATGTTGACTGAGGGATAACTATTGACCAGGACACCCGGTATAACTCAAAAACTGAAAGAACTGCAGATGCTGTAAATCAGGAACAAAAGCAGAAATTGCTGGAAAAGCTCAGCGGGTTTGGCAGCATCGGTGGACAGAAATCAGAGTTAACGTTTGTACCAGATAACTCTCCTATTCTTAAACAGCTAAAAGACAAACAGTGATAAACAAGGTGTAGAGCTGGATGAACACAGCAGGCCAAGCAGCATCAGAGGAGCAGGAAGGCTGACGTTTTGGGCCTAGACCCTTCTTCAGAAAT